AATCTGACTTGTATTTTTACGATCTTTGTTCTGATATTAATCTTTCGTTATCACGTGTGTAATAAAGAGACCACAGGTTAGGTCGCATTTAGCTTGAATAAACGTGAGTTAAGTTAAATGGGACAATGTCTATCATTGGCTGCCGCACCCTTCCTATCTCCGGCCCTACCCTTTCGGTCATCATAGGGGGTTGTCCCGGTTACTTTGAAAATCGCCACTTTCTAGGAGCTGATATTCCAGTATTACTGCAGAATCTTTATTGGACGTGGTCACGGATGGCAATTTGACGCTTTCTGATTACACATTCGATAGTTATCACAACATTTAAACATTTTTAAAATGTTTTTATTACATAAAATCTGTACGCACACAAGTTTATATAAATTAATATAGCATATCAAAATTAATTTAAAATTAAAATCAAATCCGCTCAAAATAACATTTGTACACTTATATTTGTATTTAAAATGGATTGGTTTGAGAATTAATATGAATAATTGAGTTGAAATTCATTATATAATAATATTAATCACGGGTTAATGACGATCAAAATTAACGAGACAAGTTGTGACAGTTAAAATATATTTCTGAAGCGCAAACGCGTCACATTGTAATCAAAATCGCGATTTTTTATGAACAAAGATTCGCAAAAGCGCGATTTTTATGAACAAAGATTCGCGATTATTAAATTGTGATCGATTTATTCGCATTCCTGCGACGCATCGATTTACTACTTTACAAGCCGTATTATAGGTTTCGCGTGCGCGCCGTCGCGACGGGCAATCGACCCACTGTCTATAAATCGTGCAATTAGGCGTGAACAGACCGCCACTTTTCCTCACCGTCGGCAACGCGCCGAGGTGCTATTTACTACACAAATGAAGCAGTTGGTCGTCATGATTCGATAGCAAATCGCCATTCTTTTGCCGTAAAACAGCAGGGACTATCACGTTATCTCGCGCGGAATATCAAGGTGGGGATGATGTCACTTTATAAGGTCGCGATGTATTATGAATGCGTGAGGGTTGGAGGCACGCCTCTATTGTACGCTCGTACAATAGATATATATCTAACTCTGTCTGTGCACCGGTTTCATTAATCGTTCGACACTATCCGACTTGTGTTAGCGTTATTCGCGACGTAACCGCGTCGGTCGTAGACTCTACTAATTTTGGAAGCAGCTCACCCTTTTACGAATTCTGTTCTTGCTGATTTGCGAATGATATTACATGTATAACGTGAATACATTTTAATTTTATACAAAGCATTTATACTTAACACAGATATTAACTTAGAACTTTAGTAAAAAAATATTGCTAATTTTACTTCAGTTAGTACAATTAGTATAATTTAATTATACTAGCTATATTTATGTTACATTAATGTCATATTTATTCCGGCTGCGTGCGACAATATTATCTGAAAAAAAAAACACATTCTCCACTTTATATATTTCACATATTATTTTCATATATTTTATTAGAGGGAGGGTTATACGAAAGATATCGCGTGCAAGAGATCAATGTAAATATTATGTAATAACGCTCTATCATCGTATATATCGTATATACACGTATATACACGCAGAGCATAAGAGCTAGAGCTAGTTGATCGCTAGATTCGCTATACTTTTGTGTATATATA